CTTGTCGACGACGACGACGACGGCGGCGCCGACGCCGGCCTCGAGAACCCCTACGACAGCCCGTGGGCGCGATCCGCCATGACCCCTTCCCACGAGCCAAGCTCGCTGCCCTGGCACGAGGTCGACGCCCAGGCCAAGCTCGACCAGCGCCGGGCCCGCGAGGAGGCGGCCGCGCGCGCAAAGTACGAAGCCGACCAGAAGGCGCTCCAGGCTGCCGCTGAGGCCGCCGACCTCGAGACGCGCGACCGCGGCCCGGCGCCCGTCAACACCCGGCTCACCATGACGTCGATGGCAGGCTACTTCCAGGACCGCATCATCACCCAGGGCATGCTCCGCGCCATGGCGATTTTGTACGTGGGCCCTCGGAGGCAGCCCGACTTTGAGCACGACTACTTCCTCTCGCCCATCGTGGCACCCGCCCGGCTCCTGGCCGAGTTCCCGCCGGTGCTGTTCATCTGCGGCGAAAAGGACCCGCTGTGCGACGACACGGTCGTCATGGCCGGCAAGATTCGCGAGGCCAAGCTCGCCAAGAAGGCGGACCTCGAGCGTCGCAGGGCGGGTGGCTCGGCCAGGTTTGGCGAGCAGCTGCGGATGAGCATCGGCGGTGGCGCTGGCGGTGGCGCCGCATCTGCCGTCAGGGACCCGATCGAGGATGAGTCGCCCGAGGACTGGGTCCAGATGCGCATCATCGAGGGCTGGAGCCACGGCTTCCTGCAGATGTCTTCGCTGCTGCCCGAGTCGAAGCAGGTCATCTCGTTCCTCGGCACCTGGATGTCGCTCACCTTTGAGGACCACAACGACCGTGTGCGCGAGCTCGAGCAGCAGCGCCAAGCCGAGTCGCAGCCACCGTCCGCAACGCCAACCGCCCTCCAGCCGAGGCAGCACGACGGCCAGCTCGAGGCCGCATCGCCCTCGCCGGCTGGCAGGGCAGCGGGCCAGGGCCAGGGCACGCCCAGCCTGCAACCGTCGGCGATCGGCGGCGAAGCCTCTCCTCGCGGCGGCACGCAGCCGTCTCGGCAGGCCGTGGAGGGCGACGCCGACGATGAGGATGACGACGAAGACGAGGATGGTCCCATCACGTTTGTTCCCAAGGCGCGCAGGTCGCCCAGCGTCACGCCCAACACGAACCTCTCGCCCGCCGGCTCGCCGCGCATCGCGCCCCGCAGCCCGGAGCTGGCCAAGCCCA